GAAACGTATCAGACGACCAAAAGTAGCATGGCCGAAATGTTGTAGATTGCGTTACAACAATCCTTGAAAAAGACAGACATTTTACACACTGTATGGGAACCAGTGACACCTTTGTTGTTGTTTTTTTTTTAAATGTAGTATATGAAATTCATAAAGTAATAGCAAGGGAACATAACATGTATAAAGTATACGCCAGGCAGGTTCCATGGCTGTTTAAATCGGAAGAAATTGAATAGTGGATAAACATGAAATTAAATTGACGCCGTTGACGTTGTCAAAGTGCTCCATGACGATGTATATATGTTGTATGTAAATGCTGTGAAAATACAAACGTAAGTCAAAACTCAGTAATTTTTGATAAATGTGTTCGCTTGATATGTATATTTTTGCTGACAAAATTTGTACAATGTATGTATTGTTATATAATAAAAAATGAAGAAGTATATGAACTTTCCGGACATCCCTCGTAAATGTACATGCTTATAGTAAGCGCTATGGTTATTTATACAAGTGTTATCGTAAAGTATGCATGCGTCCCTACAATACTGTCTATGTTTCATATAGGTAACCTAGCAAAAAGGGCTACTCTTAAAAATTAAACATTATAAAAACACCATTTTTATTTCTTTTTGTACGAATTTTCTGAAGCATACATGCACTTGTAGATTTTTAAACGGGAAAGGCACCTTAAATGCATTTGTATCCTGAAGTATACATTCATCCCTACAGTAAAGGGAATATTTCATAGAAATACTCTAAAATATAAATAGCGTTTTATATAATAATTGAATTACATGATAGAAATAATGTTGTTTTTTTTTCGCCTCGAGCATTTTCATATATACATCATGTATGTGTAGAAAAGAATATGGACAAACGGTCAGATATATCTTTGCATGCATTTATTAATCTTGAGATATACATAATTCCTACAATATCGGCTATGTTTGAGAGCGATATCGTTATGCCTTTTAATGAAAGACAGTAAAATACCTCACTTTATCCATTTGATGTCGGTAGTTAGCAGACGACTTTTTTAGGCAAACTATAGTATAGTTTAATTACTAAACAACAGCAAAAAGCGCGGACAATGAATCACACGAAAAGTATCGTGACTTACAATACATCTAAGAAACAATTATATCATGAATGTTAAACGTTTTTCATTTTTACACTTTGAATTTCGTCCAGGACATAACTAAATCATTCTCACCGTTTTTTTTACTTTTCTTTTCTTTTTGTATGTGTGTCTTATATAATTATGCAGTTATGAAAAAGCCCCACCATGAAGAGTAATAAAACTTAATTGATCTCTGTCCAGAACAAAAAGATGTGTAATATGATACGTAACTACGTGTCAACATTCTTTAAGAGGGCAATCGACCTGCCAGTCATTGATGTTGCAATCCAATCAAGTTATTATCCGAAAGATAATTCCTTTTTTTCATTGGTTATAAGAACTGAACTGACCACACCCCGCCCAAATTTAATGTACGGGGGACTGTCATTCTGTCAATGAAACTTAAGGTAATCATCCAATCGAAAGCATAATATTTCAGATCTATCTTAATTCAATATCAGACTTATTGGACATTGGTAACATTAATGAATTAATTAATAAAATTACATTATTATTTTATTAATTTATTAATTTAACAATTAATTATTTTATTTATTAACTTATTTAATTATTTATTTATCTATCTATTTGTATATTTATAAATGAATGAATGAATGACAAATAAATAAATAAATATATAAGTTAATAAATAAAATATATCTATATATAAATATATAAATAAATAAACAAATAAACAAATAAATAAAGAAACAATCGGTTATTTCTGCCGTCATTTTAATTGATGAGATAGGAATATCCCTATATAATTTTGTTAACCTTCATGTTATTTATACTTATGTGTATTTTTTCCTCGCTAATACATCAAAATATATGTTATTTGGTTTCATTTAGTGTATTGTATAATTTATATTTATGTAAAAAAATAATAAAAAACATTGCTTTTAACATTTAAGTTCTCTTACTGAACGCGTCGACACGATTTTCAAACACGCTGCTTTATTAAACAAAAAATAGCCATTCAATTATCAAAGAAAGAATAAAGAAAGAAAGAAAGAAAGAGAGAAAGAAACAAGAAAGAAACAAGATATATCCTAAACGCTTTTTTAAACAAAACTAGCCATTCAATTATCAAAGAAAGAAAGAAAGAAAGAAAGAAAGAAAGAAAGAAGATATATCCTAAACGCTCTAATTTCTGTTACAAACTATGTAATTTACGGCGCACTTGTATATATAATTTGTTAACTTACATAATCATATATAAACTATTCATTTTCAAATGATGCACATCCTCATTTCCTTCTTTCTTTATATTTTTTTCATTCTAAACGTGCTTACACGATTCTCAAACACGCCGTTTTTTAACACAAAAAGCCAGTCAATTATTCAACATTGTTGTAAAGAAAGAAAGAGATCAATGAAAGAGACAAAAACATCCTAGACAATCTAATTTCTTTTACAAACTATGTAATTTATGAACGAATGAATTATTACATAAATAAATAAATAAATAAATAATGAATAAATAAATAAATAAATAAACAAGCAAATAAAGTAAATAAATAACAAATTGCATCGGACCTTTTTCATTTTAAAAAGGTCGGAACCGAATATTAACATGCAGAAAAACTCTTAATGTTAAACTTCCGATCCGATATGTAAAACAAAAAATAAAGATATGGATGCATTCTCCCATTATGTTATTCTCCCATTACGCTGTATTGGGAGATTACTCCCATTTTAATTTTGGGAGATTTCGCACCATTTTAATATATGGAGATGTCTTCCATTTACTTAATGGGATTGTTCAGCCAATGGGAGAATTGCAAATTTCTTTGAATATAATCCTCGAATACTTATAAGTTTATAATAAGTATTATATATTCAACACATTTAAAAATATTTATAAAAAAAACTTTTTACTCCCACGGTTTTATTCTCCCACTTTAAGAAATGGGGTTTAACCCCACTGAAGTCCCAGTGGGACATGGAAATGTCCGTGGGAGAATTGAAAAAAAAAAACATGGGATGCCACACTTTGAACGATCACCCAGCGTTTAATTATAGCGCTATCTTTGTATAAACGGCCAATAATCATCTATTTTTATCCAAATTACTGTTTGATTTAACTTTTTTTTTAACTATTTTAAAAAGGGTAGTTAAGTTTGCAAAAATTCCGGATTTGCAAACTTATTCCGGAGGCTGTTTAAGACCGAATGTCACAACTGGTATTTCTGTTGCATACGTGTTAGGGACATTTAAACAGTACCAGTGGTATATGTTCTATAGCAGGTAATTTGTTTGAAAAATTGTTCTCCAATTTCTCGGGAAAAAAACATTGAAACGCTTTTCAATTTGCAATTATGTACGTTTAGTCTGAAAGAAACGGCCACGTGATGAGTCACGGTGTGAATAAAAAAGCGGAAAGAAACATTTGCGTTTCGGCAGCAACGGACTGTGATAGTTGAATATACCACCAACATTGCATAAATGTAAGAGCAAATGGTGAGTTTGTTTTTTGCGATTCTTGTGCGCATATATTTTCGTGTGAGAAAAAATCACTCAAAAGACAAGTAAATACATGTTAAGCACTATATTGTTGCAATCATGAGTTACGTCGATGAATTTGGCTAAACGTAGGCAGTTTCGAAATTGACATACACAAACTTTATGAATATGTTTATATTAAATTGAGTGGTATCACGTTATTAATGAATATTATGACACAGAAAAAATATCAAGATGTCTATGCTTATCTTTCTGTCAAGACAGTGTGATGTGTCTTATTTAAAAGGTGACTTTGGTACTATGTCTTAGTTGATTTGACACACGTTTAGAAAAAATGTAGAACCTTTTATACCGAATCGCGACTTTGAGAAATATAAGAAATATTATTATCATCATTTTATACACATACTTGCATATTTATCTGCATTGAATGTGTGTTGATGACGTACAGTAAAAACTGTTTACAGTGACCTTCGATGGGAGAACAGAAAAAGGTCATTATAGACTGGGAGTTACTGTTCACAGTATCTACAGAATTCAGTTAATAATTGAACGTATTTTGACAATATTTTGTTGAAAAGCAGGATAGTACCATACAGAGGGTTTGTTTATATTTTTATTGATATTAAAATATATTAATCATACCACATAGCATTTATAAAAAAACAAGACAATATTAAAATTACATGCACAATTTGTTAAGAATAAGAATTACACCAGAACATTAGTATCTAAAAGTAACATATAGATTAAAAATGTAATTTATATTGATAAATCTGTTTGTAAACAATACATTATTGAAAATCAATTTAATTGATAAAACACACTATCTACAATAAAACACATACAGAAGAATAAAAAATAGATAAAGGTTAAGAATTCTTTTGATGTACATGTACTAAAATTTGTTAGGAAAAAATGATGTTCAATTTGTTCTCTGCTTATTTAAAAAAACACCAATTTTTTGTTGTTTTCATTTCATCACAGACATGTGTGTCAATTGTTCATTCAACTCTTCAATTATGTTCATGAGAGATGCGTTTGAAAAATTTTGAGTCTGTTGACCATGTCATGAGCATCACTAAGTGAAATGCTTGAAATTGCAGGTAGCAGGTCAGGAGTCTCTTCCTCATCACTCGAGATGAAACCGTTTTGATTTCTAAGATTTATGAGAATGTCATGTGGATTCAAACTCCATTCCATGCATTGGTGTCACATGTGTGAACAAACTTCTCAATGGATGACAGTTCTTTGTAAGAACAGCCGAAAAGCTCATATGCTAGTTTTCAGGATGCTTGTGGCAAATCATCATCCTATGTTTGTTAAGAAATGCATGTTTTGGTCATATTTTATTTTCGATTATTTTAATTTTCATACCTTGTTAAAAAAGCGCATGCCTGATATTTTTTTCTACTTTATTAGTGCCTCCTAAGCTTTTTAAGTCATCTCATCAATAAATATATTAATAAAATGTTGACAATGATTATTGTTACTTCTAACTTGTTTTAAAGTATTAAACTGATAAAACTTTGAATAGAAAAGATATTTTCAATTTTACATTTCATTAAAACATTTTGGACTTGTTCTTATAGATAATACCCTGGACTTATTACTGACAGGTTTTTTACAGATAATTGTTATAATTTGAATTTAAAGAAAGAACAACATATTAAAAATTGAAACATGATAAATAGAATACCAATAATGTATGACATAATAAAATTAGTCAACACTCGGCACGAAAAATGAATAAACCTATTTTTCAAATTGCATTTTGCATATTTGAAGCCGAGCTAATGATTAGAAATTGTGAACTTTTAAATATTTTCCAAGTTCAAGGGGGAAAACTGTCAAAAAACATTTTGTCATAACCAAATTAGAACATGTATTTCCTTGTAAAATACAAGCACATGCAATGTCAATCTCAGACATCAATCCTACAATAGTTAGAGCAGAAACTGAAAATTTCTTTTTTTCTATGATCAAGAAGGTTAATATTGTCAAAAATCATCGGACTGAAACCATTACGTACTTGACATATATTTTATAAATGAATACCTGCACATGCGATTCCAACCTTATACATATATATTCATTCATTAAAATTGAGTGTTCGGGGACTAAAGCATCGAACAATGACAAAATTTAAACTTGGCCTGCTTATACCTTTGACGTATCTACGTATATGTCACATTTTAGTTGAATGTGTACAATGTTTAAGAGAAAATGAACAGATATCCACCGAAAAATTTCTTTTTCAAAGTTTAAGAGGGATAAGTTATTTTAATATATATTAAATAAGGGTTGAATATGTACAACAGTGGGGAAGAAAATGGATGGAAACTGAACATTTGTTGTTGTTTGTTTAGTTTAAAGTTAAAGGGACATTACTGTGCATACAAACATTAAATCATAATGATATTCAAACATGAGCTGCGCAATCCTTTGACGTATCTATATGTTGAATCCATAGTTGACTGTGAACAACTGTTGGGGTGGAGAGATAATAAATGAAAACTGGAAATTTCGTAATTCTTCCAAAATTAAAGGGACATACTTCTGCAAAACTTATCAAACCATGAGTAAATTCGAATTTGAACTACATATTTCTATGACGTAACAATATTTAAAAAAAAGTTGAATATGTTCAACTGTTGGGAAGAACATATATGGAAGCGGAATATTTCCCCTTTTATTTCAAAGTTAAAGGGACATAATTCTGCTTTTAATTATTTAGGCATGGCCAAATTCGAACGTAATATGTGCATTTTTCTTGACGTACCGATATTATTTTATCATCAAGCTCAGAAGGGCAAAATATCATGCCCAAATTCAAACATGATATGCGCTTTCTTATGACACATCCATTTGTCAAATTTTTGTTGATTGTGTACAACTCCTTCAGAGATAATGAAAATACACTCAAAATATCCTTTTTCTTCAAAATAAAAGGGAATAACGAAAAAAAAAAAGAAAAAAAGAAAAAAGAAAAACAGAAAAAAAACATGACAAAATTCAAACTTGATTTGCACATGCCAATGACATATACATGTTTTCAATTTGAGAACTGGTTAGTAGATAATGAACGGAAACTAAAATTGTCTTATTTTTTAAATTCAAAGTGGCAGTACTCTGCCAAAATTATTGAAACATGACTAAATTCCTAAATTCGAAGTTGACCTGCGACTTTTACCCTTTGACCTATTCATATGTCAAAATTGAGTTGTGTACAACTGTTGGGGATATAATGAAAGGAAACTGAAAATTTCTTCAAAAAGCATAAGTCAGAAATTGTAGGACCGTGACTTAATTCGAGCTTGTCCTACATTTTCCTAATGGAAGTATGATAAATCCATGTGTAAAATTTCAGTTGAATGCGTGCAGCTGTTATTAAAATAATGAACGAAATATAATGATTTTAATAAACTTCTCAAAAGAATCAAAATTGTAGAGATGTCAACAAGGAGCATACAGTCAATTTTTTTGACATTATAGATAGAATATTCCAAGAAAACACTTTTCACCAAAAAAAAATGTTGTGGAAGCCTTAAATGCCGTGTATAATTGTGCACAATGCTATACATATATATGAATACGTATGTGCTAAAATGTAAATTGATCGATATACATGCGTTTTTGAAAACATTGAAAACGTATATATGTGTGTGTCTGACCTCGCCATAAGGTTTTAATATATCTATAAAATAAACAAGTCATCTTTTATGTGATGTAAATTTTCTCTACGTTTTGTGGTCATTTTTGTAATGTCACTCATCATCATGACAGAATAACGAAACTGCGGGAGATCGGTAAGACGGCACAGGGTAACACTTTATGTCCCACCAATTTTATGACGAATGCATTAAAAAAGAAAAGCCTCGTGCTTATCGGATACATATTGTAGTATCATACACTAATTTAGTATTCACTTTGTGTTTCGCATCAATATAGTGTTTTTACATGAAGTTTTCAATAAATGATTAAATAAATTGAATTCATGGATAAATAACCGGGTTTTTCGGTTTTAATTGAATTATGCACTGTCAACCACAATATCATTATTGACGTTTGATATAACAATTTATCCTTAACATTATCTAATAACTTATCCTTATAATCAAACATAAAGTTCTAATTCAACTACAGCTAAGCCCCATTCGCCAGCCAAATTTGGTGGCTTGAAACGCATTAACTTTATCTTCTTCACGCTTTTTTCAGGTCCAGTAACTGTGACAATGTTAGCTTCACTGTTGTATGTATATGAAGATTCTGGTAGCATAATGTCGTCCACAGACATTTCAAAATGTGTTAATCTGCCAGCATTTGAAAAAACTGTAAAAAGATGAAATGTTTAGCTGTCTTTGAATCTAATAAAATTTCAGTTATTGATATTAAAAATATCATTCTTCTTGTTAAGTAAAAATAATTCTTATGATAGAAATAATGATTGTTTGCCATTTGGTAAATACCTTAATTATGGTGTTGCTGTGAGTGATAATAATGCTGTTTATAATCATGTTGTTATCAATTATTTTGTACTTTATAAACATGCTGGGTCTGTTGTGACTTTTGTAACTTTTTATTTTTTCTTCATGTCGTAAGTGACCGTAAGACTAATTATAAACACGATACTGCTTCTAATAATCAATATTGTTATGTGGAAATGAAGTGCTATAATAGCAACCTGTCCCCCGTGGGGCACGGGTCTTGGATGCGACGAAATATCTTGATATGGAAGACACTGATTCGAAGTGATTTTAAAATCCTTCAATGTATGATAATGTAACAGTTTAAAAACTATTGTTCAGCTTCAAACTCTTCTGGTGAAAATGAAACACATCACCATGATGTGCTTGACGTTTGTGCCAAGTTATTTAAAAAAAACCTTCAATGAATGGAAATGATACATTTTTGACACACATGTGTATCTCACCTTTAATCTCTTAGTGTGACCTTGACCTTTTATGTAGTGATATGGGCCTTAGCTGCAACAATTAGCCCGGATGTGGTAGAAACCTGTGCCACAGTATTAAAAAATAATCCAATAAAAGAAATCGCTAAATTGAGGACATTCAACTCATACGTGTGATTTGAACAACTTGGAGGTAAGGTATGTGTCTTGGACCAGACACGTTGTCTAGATGTGATAGACATTTTTGCCAAGTGTCTTTTTAAAATCCTTCGATGCCTGACAAAGTTACAATCCGGACATGTCAATATATAAACTGTTTTTGTGAGAGTGTGAACCTCAAAATTGTAAGTGTGACATTGACCATTGACGTATGGACGTTGTTTTATGACACTACACATTGTAGTGATATGGTTAATATTTATTGCAAGCTATTTCAAAATCCCTCAACGCACGACACAGTCCGGACACGAATGTTGTGCAAGTTTGTAAGCACTAGCATGAGCCGCGACACATTGTAATGATGTTGTAGACATTTGTGCCAAGTTATTTCAAAATGATGCAGAAAAAAGTTACAGTCGGACATGAAGTATATTGTGTCTTTAATCTCTTCTTGAGAGAATAATAACCTTCAAACTATCAGTCTGACCTTGACCTTGGAGGTAAGGACATTGGTCATCGATGGGACATGTCGTCTCGTTATGGTAGAAAGTTTTTTTTCAATCCTTCAATGGATGACAAAGTTACATTCCGGACACGAAAGTGTGTACATATCAACTCTTATTATGATAATGTGAAAATTCAAAATGCTGGTGTGACCTTAAACTTTGAGGAAAGGATATGGTTCTTGGATGCGACACATTATATTGATTGTTGTAAATATTCGTGCCAAAGATTTTAAAATCCTTTGATGCCTGAAAAAGTTACATACCTGACACGAATGTGTTTAACTTTACACTTTAATTGTGCTAATGTAAAACGTCAACATGTGAGTGTGACCTTGACCTTTAAGGTAGGGACATAGGTCTTGGACGCTACACGTCGTCTTGATGATGTAGACATTTTTTCCAAGTTATTTTACAAACTGTTGATCGATCCCTTACAAAGTAACAGTCCAAATACCAATGTGTGTACCTATAAACTCGGATTTGAATAAGGTTAAACTTTAAGATGTTAGTGTGAACTTAAACTTTGAGGTACGGACGTGTTTCTTGAACGTTTCAAGATGTCCTGATTTGGTTGACATTTCTGCTAAGCTTTTTCAGACTCCCTTTATGCATCACACTGTAACAGACCGTACACAAATGTGGACGCACAGACAGACAGGCAAACTAATGAACATTGCGATTTTGATATGCCGCTTTTCTGGGGCATAAACATATTATTGTTTGTGATCATTTTCCTGTTTATAATGAAAAATCATTTCTCATTGCACTGCTAAGTTTTATGTGGTAAGTGATCATTAATTGATTTTTATACATATGTCCCTGCTTTTGATCATTGTTCATTGCAATGTTAAGTATCATGTGGTTAGTGATCTTTTTTTATGTTTACCAACATTTCATTGTTTACTTTCCCTGCTCATTGTGGTGTTCAGCATATTGTGGTTAATGGCCATTATGTTGTTTATAAACATTAACTAGTTTATAATCATTGCTCTTTGTGGTGTTATTTATCTTTTCCAAAGTGATAATTTTTCTGTTAATAAACGTTTCTCTGTTGATGATCGTTGGTCATTGTGGTGTGAAGCTAAATAGCATGTGGTTAGTGATTTCTTTGTTGTTTATAAGCATTTCCTTTTTGATGACCATTGCTTATTGTGGTGTTTAGCATTTTGTGATTAGTTATCATTTTGCTGTTTATAATCATATCCCTGTTAAGTATCATGTGGTTAGTGATCTTTTTTTTGTTTGTTTACAAACATTTCATAGTTTACTATCCCTGCTCATTGTGGTGTTCAGTATGCTGTGATTTATGGCCATTTTGTTGTTTATAAACATTTACTAGTTTATAATCATTGTTCTTTGTGGTGTTATTTATCTTTTCGAAAGTGATAATTTTCGTGTTTATAAACGTTTCCCTGTTGATGATCGTTGGTCATTGTGGTGTGAAGCTAAATATCACGTGGTTAGTGATTTCTTTGTTATTTATAAGCATTTCCCTATTGATGTCCATTGCTTATTGTGGTGTTTAGCATTTTGTGATTAGTTATCATTTTGCTGTTTATAATCATATCCATGTTCATGATCATTGCTCATTGTGATGCTTATTATTATGTACTTAGTGATAATTTTGTTGTTGTTTAAAAAAATTTCCCTCTTGATGATTAATGCTCATTGTGGTGTTAAGCATCTTATGTTGAGTGGTCATTTTGATTGCTGTTCATAAACATTTCCCTGTTTATGTACATTGCTCATTGTGATATTTAGCATTTTGTGTTAGTGATCATTTCCCTGTTTATGTACAGTGCTAACTGTTGTGTTAATTATTTTATTGTTTGTGATCATTTTGCTGTTTCTAAACATTTCTCTCTTAATGATCATTGCTTATTTTAATTATGTAATAAATGATAAATACGTTTGTTGTAATCGTTTGGATTTTGATGTTTATGATAATCTGGCTTCATGTTATCATTGGTCATATTGCTGATATAATGTTGCTGCTAGTGATCACTATACTGCACATAATGATGACACTGCCGATGGTAATTATGTGGTAATAGTTATCACAGGCATTTTGCTGTTCATAAACATATTGTTGGAAATGATGATGTTGCTACCTGAAATCATTTTGTTATTAAAATAATAATGTTTCTGAGTGTAATCCGTTTGTTGCTTTTAATGTTGTTTGTGCTTGTACATGATAATAATAATAATAATAATAATAATAATAATAATAATAATAATAATATAAATCCTGTTTCTGTTAATAACCCATAACCTGATGCCATTTCTATTACTGAGTAGCATCATAACAAGACAGATCATGATGCTATTGACCCTTTTGCAATTCATACTGACACTGATGGTATTAATCTTTACAATTATAAATTTGATCTGATGCAAGTAGTTCACCATTTTATGAAAAAATATAGTTTGCTTATTTAATTATTTTGTGTGTAAGTTAAATCAGCAACCGGCCAAAATTTATAAATGATGTTTACCCATATCAATGTTTAATCCTTTAATAATATATGAACATATCACATATTCTTCCGCAAAGGTGATCTCGATAAAAGGTTTCTCTTCGCCAAATTCGCTCGCCCAAAAAGTATTCATGTCACCATCAAAAATGTTGGATGGCTCATAGGCTTCGCCTTCCACAGAAGAACTTTTGAACGTAGCGGACTTTACTACAACTGTATAAAAATAACAGTTAAACTTGTGTAAATAACCAGACTATCGCCTCGGCTGTTATTTTATGTACACATTATAATATTTAATGTAAATGACACATGTTTAGTAGAAGTTAATGGTCTAATGTTGTTCAGCATATATTTTTCCAAAGCCGCTCAAGCGTACAGCCATTATGTAGTTATATGTAGATTTAACTAATTATGAAATTATCTTGCAAGATTAAATTGTTGAAAAGTTCACAGAAATAAAGGAAAATGTGAATGATAAGGAAATCTTGACACACGGGTGCAGAGTGAGATTCGTCGGAGTCGCGAAAAAGTAAACCTTGAGAAGCGTATGGCCATTTTAGAGAAGCAGTTTTGCAAAATTGTGGAAGGGAATTTGTCAACTGTCAAAATGAAAAAAAAAATAGAGAGGATATTTGAGGAATTTAAACTGTATTGAAGTTTATTATGTTTGAAATTTTAGTTGTTTATCAATTTCAGATTACTTATTTCTCAAGTTTCTCAAGTTTTTCTTAGTTTTTTAACAGCTCTGAAAATGTCTGAATTGTAAGCTAAAATATAATTAAGGTACCACATGGGGGACAACTTAAAAAAGTAGTGTTGTCATTGAAAAGTGTGAAATTGTACTTTGATAGAGTTCACTGTGAAATTACCATATGTAATTGTTACAGATAAATCAGTTTGTCACATAAAATCATAAAATGATAACATTTGTAAACCAACTTTTACGGTTTTCCACTAGATTAATTCAGATGAGAAAATATTCATAAAAAATAATAGGCCACTCATTAGTTCTTTTTAATAAAATAGAATACAGATGTGGGAAATTGAAAAGTTTATTATACAAATGCTGGATTGAAATCACCTCGTTAGGCCCTGTATAAAATCGGCTAAAATCATTCAGTATCGGTTCAAATAACCCCCTATGACCTATTTAATGATTATGAAAAGTTTTATTACAAATGATAACACAAGTGTGGATTAACTGTTTTCAAAAAGCCTTGTTCTTGAAATGCCTTTTGTTACTAGAAGTACCTTTAAGGGAGATAAATATTAAAACATATCGTACCAGGTTCCTTTTCGTAACATCTTTCTATTCCGCTAGGGCCTTTTTTGCATTTTGTACCTGCTTTAACGCACTAGGAGTATAAAATAAAAAAAAATATGATTATATTTTCAGCTTGAAAGAATATGAATACCAACAATATTGTTCTAGTTAAATATCTGTATGTTATCTATTCTCAAACTTGATGAATGACCATGTAATAATAGCAAGGTGTGAAAATCAACGCATTCATCAAGACCTCAAAACGTTAATTATATTGTATCATATACAAATAACAATAAGTTTGTAACACGTTTTTTTCTAAATACTGATTCAGTCATTTTTTGTCATAGCGCAATACATTTTGTCTTACCAAATTTTAGCTGCGGAATTTTTAACTTTATTTATGGTTTTCCAGAATTAGAATATTTATGCAATGATAAAATGACGAAAACGTTTTTGAAATAAAATAATTTCACTTTGTTTGCTGCACAATTTTTACAACTTTCAGAAGAATAAGTAGTATAATATAACATTGATATTCCTAAAATATTTAAAGCTAGTTTTTGACTACTGTAATTCCCCCTTTTATGTTGCATGTAAGGCTACAGCAAAAAGATAATAAAGTGTCCAGAACACGGCAGCTGGAATCAAAACGAGATCGTCTTAGATTGACCACATTACTCCTGTTTAATAAACGTTAGGAATTAAGTATAAAATCTGTTTTCGTACTTTAAAGACGAAACAAGAACAAACCACAAACCAGAGATTCTTTAAGTGTAGGAACCAAGGATAAATTTGGGATCAAAAGGTAAAGCAACAGCACTTGAATTTCCATGGTGTTTTGCTTTATGTACGGAGACAGATTTTTTAATATTTTTAGCCAAAATTATGGAACACGTAACGATCAAGCTTAAGAGAAACTGAGACTTTGGACTCTTTCATATAATCTTGAAAAACACACTTGTTTAAACTCGCATACCAATTAAACTAGACAAGAGTCATTGTAATGATATGTGACGTCATATGTGTGTACGAGTATATTTAAAATGTGTATTTCATTTACTCTTAAGCGACAAAAAATTGCATTTCATTTTCAATTATGTAGGTGCCGTTATATGTACCTAAGATTGCTTGGACGACTTACATAGGGTATGATATCTTAATTTACCATGAAAACTTTACTTTAACCTGTTGAATATATTCCATATTTTTATAATGCATTTCTTGATGCCTTTTATGTTGCTTCTTGATGTGTATTTTTTGTTAGATTAATATTATTGTAGAGCGCGCATTTGGGCGTATGGATATATAAAAAGGGCGCTTTAAAAGTCTGATACAATAAAAATAGTAATTATAGCCAAAAAGAAGATGCAAAAAGTACAAAATCGATAAGAATTAATGTGTATTCTTGTCACAGTGTACATTTGTTTCATCAGAAAAAAAGTTTTCGACAATAAAATGTTCTTCATTTGTCAACTATTACGTAAAACTAAATTGTGATGTTCGTCTTAAGGTTAATCTGTCAACTAGTGTGTTGTGAAAATGTGACTATTATAGTGAGATAAATTATTGGTTATACTATAAAAATAAATAGATGACACTACCGTTTTGTATCCTTGTTGCTCAAGACTAAGTTTACATCGTTGTCTGCATGTTGAATCAACGTTGATGACAAAAATACAGAAAGCCAAAACCTACAACAAAAGACATAAATTTAGGGATCGTTTGAAATATAAAAATAATAAATCTGAAAAATTCATTACATGTCCAACTTGAATGACGTTCAATGAACACAGACTCAAACATAAGCCACAGAAACATGCACGTGTTTCACCGAGATCATCTGGCAAATGAAAAAGCTATAATGGGTCTGTCCTACTGTGTAAATGAAATGGATTAAAACATTTGCAAAACAATAAACATTGAGAAAAAATTACTTATGTTTTAAGAAAAGATGCAGTTTTCGTAATTCAAGAAAGCATGTCATTATTTAGCAGGAAGTGGCTGATTTTGCAGAACCTATGGCGAGCCTAACGCAGTAAATGTCACTTTTACACATTCTAATATTTTTTTCCCTTTCATTTGGAATGCTGTTTGCAGTGTAATAATTATTGTCTTTGTTCACTTAATGATATTTTACTTTAAAATATTTTTCAAAAAATGTTTATGTAATTTAACTGAAGGATGAAACTGGAGGCATGTTGCTTTAAACTAGGCAACAATGTGCACTGCTCATAACACTACGTTGCTAGTAGAAATCCAGACACATTAGATTGAGTCCTGACAATTAACTCGTCACTTGTCAAATGATGTACATTTTCTTGTAATGATTAGCTCCTTTTTATAACGACTATTCTAAACAAGAGGGTGGTTGGCCCATAAATGCTTACCTGAGGACAGACTGTTATTTGTGTGAAAGCTGCGAAAGCTAGTGCTGATAACAAGAATTTAAGGAATGTTTGTCATAAGGTCATACTTCAAGAAAATAATTTAATTGTCACATATTCTATATACATGGTCCTTATTTCTAACCTGTAAATAAAATGTAGGTCGCTATGTCAATATCTAGTTCATTAAATATCAAAAGTCACCTGAGGTTTTAAAATTCAGTTTTGCATAGCAAACTGTGCGCATAGTCCACTTTTAATGGCTGTAAATCAAAGGACATGAAAGTACGACATTTGTCAAATTCTAGGTCAGCTTATGCTATGTTTAATTTAACATGTAAAACTAAGCACATGGTCCAAAATGGAATTTTGACGGTACATTAAAGGACAAGTATGTAAGTCACATAATCACAAATTAAGTCAGCCGATATCAAAGCTCAATTAACATAATGTTGGCGAACTCTGACACTATGGCTATAATTCGAGTAGAGATTAACTACAAAATTGTTCATACCAAATATCTGACCTTAAGCCTTCAATTCAGAAAAGACGATTTTAATGTTGAATATAGAATACTGTTGAATCAACCGTAGGATATGTTGCCGGCTTTTTAATTTGTCTTTTATCAGCTTATCTGTGATATTCAGGCTCCATAACTTATGATCCCCTTTCAAAATTCGATTTTTTTATTTCCGTCTATTGTTTTCTCGTTTTGTGGCACATGCATTCTATACTTGGGGACCATATGCCGTTTTTCATGGAATGACACTAACGTGTCACATTGACGGTTCTATTATAACGCCGTATGAACACACTTGAGGATGTTTCTAATTTCAAAATTGTTACCATAACCATAATTATATTTCTGCATAAGCCTGTGCTAGGGGGCGTGGGCGTTAATTTGTACTTTCCAATACCGTCCATGAACAGACTCAATCAAACAGAGCTTGCAATAATTCAATTTTGCCGTGTTAGGCTTTCTTTAGGGACTCTGTTTTTGTCTACTCTATTGAACTCTATGAATAAATAGAAAACATATAACACCCGGGGCTGGGCCAATTTTGACACTAGGTGCAAAGTGTGTTAGAGGACCTTGTCATGATATTGTTGTACCAAATGTCAAATCATTATATCTTCAAACATGAATGTTATTTTTGTTTACTAAATGCACATAATGAAAATCAACAACCGCGGGGGCTATTTCAATTTTGACCCTAGGGCTATAATTAAAACAGTTTTAGTAGAGGTCGACTTCAAAATATTTATTGCCAAATATGTAACCTCTAGCCTTTTGTAAGTTCAGGGGAAAAGGTTTATTTTAAGTTTTTAAGACCTGACCCCGGGACGGTAAATTTGGACACTAGGAGCAAATTTTGAATAACTTTAATTGTCACTAATACATGATATTATATATCAAATATAAAAGTTCTAACCCTTGTGCCTTCAAACAAGACCATTTAATTTTTACTATATATACAAAATTAATGACTTTCGGTGTGCCCAGGGCTGTTTTTTGAACAATATTGGAAGAAGTCCACAACACAATGTTTCATGCCAAATATGTTACCCCCTATGACACTATGGCTAAAATTTCAGCAACTGTGGTAGAAACCTACATGTATCATATACTCGATATAAAAGGCATGGGCCTTATACTTTTAGACAAAATGTGTTTTTATTTGCTTTTTCAACATATTTTCCAGCCCCGTGACCAACATATTCAACAGACCGAAACCATCTGAGCAACTTAAAAACGGGACACCCCAAGAATCATTCCTGTAAAGTTTGGTTACTGTGCAGTCATTGCTTTTAAGAGGAGATGCTGTTTAAAGTAATTGTTGCACTTACCTGTATAAGACGATATTTATTCGGTGAAGTCATTTCTTTAATGGCTGCAAGCGCGCAAAAATCTGGTACTAAAAGAAAACAAAACACATACATACATAAACATTAGATTTTGAACAACGCCGTAAATTATTTGGCATTGTAATAACGTTATTTATCAAGTATCGATGCGACATATTCAACTGTTCTTCATAGTAATGCATGTACTGACCAAATGAAACATAGTCTGCAATTAGTTTCATATAATTTTGTTGTGATTAAAGCTTCCGAGGTATCACTTTGTTTCTAGGTTTTATATTCAAACGTTTGAAAGTTTCCCTTGTAAATATATTGTTTCCATTATGAATTGTTCTGTTCTCAATCATATCACAATCAATACCACTGACGAATATTAACGGGTTGGACATACATAATGTCTATTTTTTTTTATTCCTGTTACGTTCTCCTAAATGACCAATGTTGAACAGGCGCTAAGCCAATCATTTGAGTTGAGATAATTTCCCTTTAGCTAAAGCAATGACAATTTGTGTTTGTTTATAATAATTGGGATTTACATCATACCGACACATTATAGGTCATTTGGTGACGTTCCAGCTTTACTGGTAGAGGAAGACGACCTCAGGTGCCCTTCCGTGCATTATTCCAGGCACGAACGAGCACCTGATTAGAACCACAAACGTTCCATAAAATTAATGAATAGCTTTCTCAAATGAAAAAATCCAAAGTCCCTGTCGGAATTCGAACACACAGCGTTGAGAGGCAAGTGGTTTGAAGACAACGACCTTAACCACTCGGCCACGGACGCCTCTACTGTCAATTAAGTGAATTGAGCCTGATATGTTTGAAGGCATCGGTGGCCGTGTGGGTAAGATTGTTGTCTTCAAACAAGTGTCCATCAACACTATTAGTAACAAATCTATGTGTTATACACATGTATTTCATCATTCATCAGACCAAATAGTGTAATAATCTTAAAATTTCAACTAAATCCAACTGTAACAAAAAATAAACCATGGAAAAAAATAACTAAACTGTCGTTACATTGCAAGTTTGTAAGTGAACTTAAGAAGTTATTGTTTCTTTTGTTATTTGAAGAATATGATATCTTCGAGCCAGATTCATTTGGAAATCAAAAGAGAAACTATTTGTACGGTTATGATCTGTAAAATCTGATCATAATTATTCCAGAATATTCTTCACACAGAATTTGATAATATGCATTTATGACATTACGATGGAATGCTACATCTGAATGCGACACATATTAAATTCAATACGTAATCCTATTGTTGCACGGTTTAATCGTCTGCTTATACCATTTTGACACATAATGAATCCCGTACATAAAGGGCATGGCATGAACTGGTTGCACGCATGTTTAAAGCGAGAAAATTGGTTGCAAATTTGACAAAATGGCTACCTACGGAGTCATGAATATTTACAACAATCGCACGTATTTTCCTCCGATAGGTTGGTTTGTATGCTAATATTTTGATTTATTAAAATGCCTATGGAAATGTGTTTGACATATTCGGTTTTTTGTTTCCGTTTCTCAGCTTCTGCTTTGACAAAGTTATTGAAGATGTACACTGGAATTATAAATATTTCGAGATTTTTATACTCATTTGTTCACATCATACGTTTTAAACGATGATAAACGAGAATAACAAGGAAAGGCATCGTTCATTGAAAACAAGTTCACAAAACAAGACGAAAATGAGAGTGTGTGACTACTGTGTTAATATGTTTATATGCATGTTTCAAATTAAGTTTAAGTATTCAAACTTATCTTATTTATGATATGTGCTTCTTATTTTAAGTCAATTTTGAACCTGCAAATTGACAAAAGAAAGTTATTTAATTAGTCATGGATATTTCCTTCACAGAGGTTTAATTCAATTGTGTTATTTCACTTGCTTTCAAACATGTTTTTATATGGCTTTGACATTAAAGGGGTTTCTTTATTTATTTGTAAATTGCTGTCAAATACTGGTAAGACCACGCCATGTTACGGCTTTATGCCCTCTCCTGCTTTGTGTTTTGTACCCTACTGAGTGCCTTTGGTTAGTCAAGTGTGACTGGATGATTTTCAGTGGCTGCATACTCTGAATGTCGTTTTTTATTGTTGATATGTTTTAATATATTTAGTATGTTTCATATAAAAAAACACGTGCGTATTTCTTTAAATTGTAATGTAAATTCATTAATGAAAAAGCATTATTGAATTAAATGGCAAGTTATCAAAATATTTTATAATGGATGTTGCAAAACGAATGGTATGAATTGGAAACGAAATGAAAAGACACTGTAGTTGAAAAAAACGTGTCATCATGAACATTGCAGCTCGAAGACGTTGTCGAATTATGAGTTACAGTTTCGGTTGCTACTCGGCAAAAAATTAAAATTTATTACAATCTTGAAAAGGTTGAACCCTTGGAAGTATTAATAACAACAAAATAACACGAAAATTGCAGACTCGATTTGATTGAGTCTGTGCATAAGGGATCATGAAAAAGTGCAATACTTATGACGCCCGTAGCTCCGGCCTGAGCGGTTTATCATTTTCAACATTAAAAGTGCTGCAATCACTGATTCCAAAGGAAACATAACAACACTGAAGTAAAGTACGAGGCTACTTAGTAGAGCAGCCACGTGGTATGTGATATCTGCTGTTGTGAAGTATAAAAATCCTGACCACAAAACAAATGTTATTCAGTTTCTTTCGCTTGTCAGAAATTCCTTATTTATTTTCACTCTGGGCTATGTCGCAATTGAAAATAGAGCATTTGATATTCACTCAATATATATATTTATACGTTTACCAACGTTTGGTCTCACACTGAAACCAAACAGACAACCCTTAGGGGTTTTTTTCTCGTACATTCGTCTCTACAGTAAATACAAATTGATAAAAATGTTCAACCACTTAACGTCCTGTCACATGGATGCAATAACTTCAAAATGTTACAGATGCTTTTTCCTATTCTATTCTATCAGTTCAGTCAATAGATATTAAAATCAACTTAAGCTGTCCTACTCGCTACATGTTCACGTGTGTTAAAAGGGTTGCTCTCAGAAGGATGACTGCTTTGGTGTCATTTTTATCTGAGAAAAGATTTAAAAATAAAACTATAACCAGTTTCCAAGATATGAAGGCTGAGCAGCACGTAACCTGACATAAAATTAAAATATTCTCAGTTAGATACTAGCATGTAATTGTTTGATTAATATTATTTTTCCAGGTATTTTGATCTTTGTTATCTCAAATCCATATATACATTAATACAACAAACTTTGATCATTATGTACAATCAAAACAGAGATTTCTGATCATAATTTACAACAAAGACAAGCACACACCATTTATTATGCACTTATACAGAATACCTGTTCACGTATACACGAAACAATACTAGACACCTGGCAAGCCCAAGCTCTAAACAATTTATGATCAAACAGAACAATAAAATCGCCACAAAATGAAGAACACAAAATGTATTATTTTACAGTATTTTACAACTTAAACTAAAACACACAGTATTACAGATATCTTCAAAAACAAAGCAGTAACTATTATAATCCCAACCAATATCAACCATAGTTATCTCATAAAAACTGTAAAATTAACTTCTATATACATTTAATAACTGTCAACAAATAAGCTGATTTTGTGTCGGGTAGTAGTTTTAACGACATTCAGTATTGTACAGAGAGGGAAATTACTCTTTACCTCTTAGCCTAAGGAACATTACTCTTAATAACAGGAATCTATATATTTTTACTCATAATAAAGCACAAACATGTTATTAGTGCTGTGAGGGCATGTAAATCAACTAAATACAATAGCGCTGAACGAAAATAAGAAAAAAAAATAGCTCTGACTACTAAATAACAAATAATAATTTTAAATGACTGTAGAAAAAACAAGAAAAATTTCAAATATGGCCAATATAAATATATGTAAAAAAATTATATCAAATGAAAAAATGTAAAATACACAATTATGGATCAATTTTGAGCTATTTGGATTTTAAGCGCTAACCGTTGATTTGTAATAAGATGCATAATGCTACTTAGACTATAATATATTCATATACTGAACTAAAAGACTCGTAAATTGTGTTTGCATATATATAATAAAAACATTCGATTAATTTGGAGGTTAATTTTCTATATAATAATGGTACATTATATCACATTATGTTATCTAAATGTATCCAACATGCCAACATTTCCAACGTAAAAAATAATAAAAAATTGAAAGAAAAAAGTAATAATATGTGCACTGCTTATTTTTCTATTTACCCTTTTAACGATTTCCCCTACAACGAAGCCACTTATCAGAAATTTACATTTTGAATAATCATTCTCTATTCTTGCTTGTGTTTTATACACGATCTCTTAATCTTTTTCGGATTGAGGATACATATAATTATCCCCCTTTTCATAAACAAACATAATAGAGACATGTACAACCCGTTTTGATTGCATATACAATTTTAAAATGAACTAAATATCGCAAAATTTGTACCTCAGTAAAGGAAATCCTTTAGCAGTTTTTGAAAGCACGATCGTCTTGCGTTGCAGCCGTGTTTGCAATGATTATAACAGACAGTTTAAGCAAAACCCACACCTTGACATAATATTCACAGTAACCAGACCTTGAAATGCCAAACAAAAAAACCCCATACAATTGTAACCCGTAAAACTACATTCCACCATATCATTAAAAAGACAGCAAAAAAGGTTCAAGTTACAAAAAAGCGAATATTTACTTCAGCGATGTCCTATGCGTACTAGTATAGGATGCACAAGTAGCACTTTTCAGTTTTTCTTTATGATAATAGATAAAGGATATGTCAACTTGTTCCATATTTCGACTTAAAACATTTATGAACGATAGTTTTTAAATTGTTGTTTATGTACACTTAATATAATAGTTTTGTATACTCTGAACATATAATGATAAGATAACGAGTTACGTTCTTTTTAAAAAAGAAAGAAATGAGGACTGATTAAGCAGATTTAAATTAAAAATAAAAGTGCACACATTTCCTCTGTTGTTTGCGTTTGAAATAAAAAAATGAGTCACTTAGACAACTAAACAAAGTAAGTAAAGAATGAAGTGACACATGCATAAGTTTTTTTTAACAAAAATATGATAATTAAGAAAGTTCATTGTGTTGTTATTAACAAAGTAATAGAAACGTCATCGAAACACGAGACAATTGTTTTGATGTGCTTTTCCTTTAGTATCATAGGCAAAAACAAAACACGTTCTCTGTTGTCACTATATGAAACCCAGGAAAAGGTTACCAATAAACGAGCATGATATGATATTTTTATCGCTATCCCTTTCCCTGTCGTCAAAATAAGTAAACCTCAAAAATGATCCAATCAACGGGCATGCTCTGCAGTTCGGGTAGCTAATGCCTGCACTCAAGTAAACGCACTGTGCATGTGTATGTATACGATTTAAAACCCTCAAACTATGGTACAATATTTCATAGAATACATAAAACAAGGGCATTCTGTGAAACTCATATTTATTATTTTCAAGCAATGTGCAAACTTTTATAAATTTTGTTCGCTGTGCACGTTATTTTCACTTAAGAAATAACATCGGTCTTAGCGGTGTTTATCGGCTATTTATTTTATGCATTTCAGTGGATTACTGATTTATCCGTGAAAATTATATTTAATAATTTCACAGTGAAAATTATCAAAACATAAATTCAAACTTTTCAATGACGAAACTACTTTTTTACGATTTTCCCCATTTGGTACCTCAATTTTATTTTTGCTTACAATTCTGACATTGTCAGGCTCTTTAAAGAAAAGCAAAGCTGATATTGATAAATAATTTAAATGTCAAAAGTAATAAAAAGAAGAAAACTTATTTCTATTCATTCAAATTCCAATCACCAAATTTTGTCTCTAAATTTTTTTGTTTCATTTTTACAGTCTTAAAAAATACATTCCTTCCACATGCAAAACTGCTCTTGATGACATTTGGGCATATTAAAGTATCCTACGTTGAATAACTGCCGTATGCTTAATGAAAACTTGAAAAGCAATGGCAGCTATCCCCGTAGAATAAGTAAACAACTTAGCTTTCCTGAGCCAGTCTTTGATTAGTTTGAAGTTTTCCATTTTCCTTGCTGCTATTTGAATGATTTCCCATCTGTCAACACTTATTTTTTGTCTGTGAAAATTCTCAAATAAGTTTTCTTTCTTTTAAAAAGGTGTATTACAAACAAATCCAAATGATATCCCTCTGAATCAAACACAATTATTTCCCTCCCTTGAAATACACAACTTTAAAGAATGGCTGCCGCTTACATTAAACAAAAACAGGTTTAATATAAATTCGCAGTAAGTAACGGAAATATGGATGGATGTTTGGACTTTTTCCCCTACAAGAATTGTTTGTTTTTATTATTAAAACAAGCGATCATTCATATTTTTTTTATAAAATGAATAATATCACCGTCATTTAACGTTGATTGTGGAACTAATTTTTCAGCTCAAGACTTCTTGTATTTAATGAGAAATTCCGACTAAATGGGGCTCTCAATTGGGAAAACAGATTTTAATATTAACGTTAATATTAAAGAAATTTCGTTTTAACATGTTTTTAAGCATAAAATAAAAAGACAATTTGTTTGTTTGCTGTTTAAGATGAAATTTTATTTCATCTCGTGAACTTTAAAAAAAAGGATTCTCACTACGTGAGAATACTGTTTTTAAAGCCCACTCGATGAAATAAAATTTCATCTTACACACAAACAAACAAATATCCGCTATTTAACACTTGTTTGGAGTTTTGATGCGTTGGTTTTGACCAGAAAAGCCGTAGGCCTGAGTGGTTATTTTTTTGCATCAAAACCGGTGTTACATAGCCGATAAACACCGCTAAGACCGATGTTATTTCGATTCTAACAAGATAAAATAAGCAAGATCACTTATGTTATTTTGTCAAGTGGAAATAACTTCTGTGGCCGATTTTCGTAAAACGATGTTCAATTTCGTACCCTACTGTTGCTAAAATAAAGAAATTATTAAACAGACGCAATTATAAGAAAAAATATTTTTTCAACAAAAACTTACGTCTTACAATGGATTGCATTGTGTTAACACCAGTGCACCATTTATCAATGTTGTATGTTTGAACTGACGTCTGCGTTTATGAATGAGTCTTTTTATTCAGGATGACGTCATTAGGCCGTTTTGTCAAAATGTTATTAACTGATATGGATCAAATATGTGGCGTTGGTGTATATGAGATATTATTTCGGTATTGTATGAAAAGAAAACATTAAACGAACTATAATATATAATATATATATTTTTTTGTATTGTTGCCTTAAAAGGGTTTGTAAACTATATAATCGGGGAGAAAACTAGCAGCCGCTTATACAAGTAGTCCCTAACAAGTGTTTATTGGCAGTTTAACACCAGTTTTTTCCTTCTTTGTCTATAGTGGAAAATCACGAGGAGTGTTAGAATGTGTATTTTAACTTGTGTTTCTCGTGCATTTATACATGCAGCTAGGAACGAGTCTTACCACGTAAACTTTCTATACAATGTCATGTAAATGCACGTGTAAATACATAAAGGTAGCATGTTTAACTCATTTACACTTTTAAATGTCCCTTGTATGGTGGCTGACACTTAAATCTACCTTTTTCGCGTGGCGGGATGAATAAGATAAAAGCCGCCACACGGAAACTGATAAATTAGATTTTTTTCACCGGCCATACGAAAACACGCCACATTCCCTCTTACATAAGATAATCGTGTTGCATGTGATTTTTTTCAGCGTGAAGTATTTTAATAAGATCTTGGTAACGCTCCTTACTTTATTTAATTTATCATTGTTTTTCAGTATGTAAGTACGTGTATGATAACATTTTGATAAACAATAACAATCATTTTCTAAGCAATGAGAGCTACATAATTTAATAATACTGTTAGCACACACACAAAAACAAAAAGGAAATGACCTGAATTGTACTTGAACCAACACATTTAAATGTAACTGATAGTAATTGTCGCCTCTTTAATTTACTCTTTACTTTGAAAGATATGCAATAAACAGGATTTTCTTCAAACTACGTAATATAGACAACGGTACAGACCGATATGACTATTTGCAGTCTTATTTATTATATAAAATTACTTTATACCCTATCAACATATATATGGCAAATATCTTTAAATATATCAGCTCTCTCATTTGAAAAAAAAATATGAGCTGGGTCACGACAAAACCAACATAGTGCGTTTGCGACCAGCATGGATCCAGACCTGCATGCGCATCCGCACAGTCTGATCTGGATCCATGCTGTTCGCTATCAGTTTCTCTACTTGTTATAGAGTTTGAAAGCGAACAGCATGGATCCTGATAAGACTGTGCGGATGCACAGGCTGGTCTGGATCCATGTTGATCGCAAACGCACTATGTTTGTTTCGTTGTGACACGGCTCATTTCTAGGATAGTGTTTACTGTTCAAGATCATTCTTGAGAAGGACCCAATGGTTCCAATATCGAACGTGTATTTTGGGTTCCGTCGATGATAATAATATATAAAATAACTCATAATATCACTAAAATTATGCAACAACTGAGACAAATAGCAAATTATTAGAGCATGCAAAACCGAATTATTAAAATATATTAATTTCAAACACAAAAGAAACATAAAACGTCGACAAAAATGATATAACACACTTGAATGCCTTAGGAATGCTATGCGATATGACATTAACGTTTTTTTTGCACATAAAGTACGGCGCAGACGTTTAAAAAAAACAACACTTATTTTCATTCTAGTCTGTCCCACCGTTTTTGAATATTTCAATGTTTATTCAATATATTATCACACAAAAACAGGTCTAAAAAGTAACATATTTGTTTACAGTCAATAAAAAGGCAATAAAGTAAAATTTATAGTTTCCACGAGATAACTTTGACATACCGATTATTATGCTGTTAACACCACTATATTTATGATAGCCGTGAATACGTAGAAACTAGAACAGTTTGATGAAAGCAAACCTTACATATATAAATGCAAATTTTAGTGTCAATAATAACACCAGCTCTATTTTTTAAACATTTTTTCTTCAAAAATTGCCTAAGACTTAACCAATAAGGCGCTTTGAAAGTTAGAAAATATCATAAACGTACAACAATTATTTCGGTTTACGATTATTTGAATATTTTGACAATATTTACTTTATTGAGAATATATGCGTTAAGTTGAACAAACTCGCATAATTTTGCATCTTTTGTAAGACACTGCTAGGTTCTAAAAGTATTAAAATTTTGTAAATATATTTTGTTAAAAATTTGTCAAGGAGGGAAAGGGGTAATGTGTTTCTTGTTCATAAATTGTTTCATTTATACCTGGACTGAAATTGAATATGGCCAATTTTTGGGAAAACTAGATCAAATTGTCCGAAAATGTACATACAAATACATAACAAAATATTTTTACACAATGGAAAAGGATGAGAATGAAAGAGAAGTCTTATAGAATTTGTTTCCTTTGGGGAACTATATGGTTTGTCTTTAATAAGTCATTAGTTAATACATGTATATACTAGGCAAGGGAACAAGTATTAGTTATTAGTTATACACAGATATAATTATATTTT